AGACTAAAAAATAAAAAAAAGACCGGTGGATGTAGCTCAGTGTGAAGGCCCTGGTTTTAATTCCCAGTACCAGTAAAAGAAGGAGGAGGAGAAAGAGGAGGAGAAGGAGAAGAAGTAGGAGGGGAAGGTTCCTAGGTAATTCTAGGGTGCAGCCTTATAGGATGCTGAGAAGATGAATATATTTTACCCTTTGTGTTAACTGAAATCAATAGTGATGCATTTCCAGAGAAAGATCTAATATCTGCCCCAGGACTGGGCCTAAGTCTGATGTAAAAGTCAAGTCAAAACACAAAGCCCACCTTTGTGGAGCCCTTTAGTAGGGGCCAGGCCTCGAGGGGCCTGCTTTACAAGAACATTGCAGTTTAATCCTCTGGCCAATCCATGTATTGTCATCAGCCCCATTTTACAGATGAAGCAGCAGAGATCATGACTTACTTGGGGTCCCAGGCAGTGATGGAACTGGGATTTGAACCGGAGTCACCTGAATATTTAACAACTAGGTCAGGCTGTATTCCTTGGGTCCTCAGGGGTCCCTGAGGAGCTAGGGTGGGTTTGGATGGGGTCCAGGATGGCCTGTGGGTCAGAGCCTGACAGCTGCTGCCCTTCCCCTCTCCCCCACACTGGGCTTGGCAGAGTCTTCTTCTGGAGAGAGCACTCTGGGAGCCACTGGGGTCATGTGGTGCGCCCAGTGTGCTCTGACATCTGCCCCCTTCCCTGCTGCCAGGGACCTCAGGAATTAATCACAGGGCTTGCAGCAGGATTAGCAGGTGGGAATTAGGTGCCACATCTGCCGGCCTCTGGAGAGCTTAGGCAAAGCCTGTGCCTTAGAGCCTAGGAAGCCGAACACTGGCCAGCTGGCGGGGCCTCAGTCGGCGCATCCTTCCGGAGCCATGTGGAAGAGGGTAGGTTGTGGCTGAAAGCCTCAGGCCTGGCAGGTTGTTTCTCAGCAGGCTGAAGGGGCAGAGCAGCTGGAAGTAGGGGTGGGCAGAGAGGGAAGCCAGCTGTCCTGGTTTGCCTGAGGTTGGTGGTAACATGGGACTCTCAGTGTCCTGGGCAAGCAGAGGTGGGTGGCAGGGGGGATGGGGTTTCCAAGCTGCTGTTTCCCTTGCCATGGGGTGGAGCCATGTGAATTGAGGAGTTGTTCCTCCTATACTCTGGTGTGTGTGTGTGTGTGTGTGTGTGTGTGTGTGTGTTACTGGAGAATGAACCCATGGCCTGTGCACTGGGCTACATCCCCAGGGTTTTTAGATAGGGTCTCACTAAGTTGCTAAGTTGCCAAGTTGCCCAGGCTGAGTTTGAACTTGCAATCCTCCTACTTCAGCCTTCCAGAGAGCTGGGTTTACCAGCATGTGCTACCATGCCTAGCTCCCCCTCTGTGTTTTCTAGTAGTTTCTCTGTCTCCTTTTTCCTTTCCCAGGCCTCGGGCACCCCTTTTTGCCTGCAGTCCTCTGACTCAGCTTCTTGTTCATGGGAGCTCCTAGGGTGTAGATCTGAATCCTCAAGGAGTGGAATCTTCCCTGCCTTGGAGAGAATGAAGAACCAGGTGAGGCACAGCCGTCCAGCATTGGCCTAGGTCACCCTCCCACCTGTACTGCCACCACCACCGACATCCGCAGGTGTGCCTAGGCCATCGTTTCTTGGTCTTTTGGCTAAGATGAAGTGTAGATGCGCCTGGGCCAGAAACAGGCTGGCTTCAGCTTCTTGATTGCAAACTGGAAGCCACACATCTCACACCGCTGACCTCTGCCTGGGGTGACCCAACTCTTCTTCCTGTCTTGCTCAGTGACCTCCCCCCCCCCAGCTCAGCTGCCCCTCTCCTGGGAGCCCAGAGACCTTTGCATGTTTCTGTTTGTGTCTGCATCACTGATTCAAGCACCAGTCGGCGAGTGACTTTCTAGGGACTTTATGGGCATTGCCTCATTTGCCATCACCTAAACTCTAGGAGATGTAGGATAATTATTGTTCCTATTATGCAGATGAGAAAATTGAGACCCCAAGCTGGTAAGGGTGAAGCTAGTAAGGGCAGAGCCAGAATCAAGTCTTGCCCCCCGGCCTTGGGCCTGGGTCCCACTCCCGAGGGCTGCTGGCTCCCTGGGGGCAGGGGTGGCTGTTTTCTGAATGAATCAATGATTGAAAAAAGAGGGGCCATCCCGAGTGGGCTGTGAATAATGGAAAGGGAGTGAGGGCAATGGGGGTGCAGATGGGGAGCCATGGAGGGTGAGGCCTGGAGGAGCCTCTGTTTCCCAGCTGGGACGGAGGAGGCTCTAGTGGCCACTGCGAGTCTGATGGGAGCAGCTGGAGAACAGCTTAGAGGCTAAATATGGACTCCCCCTGCGGGTTTTTGGAATAAATCCTGGATTTGGAGACAGGCATGAGCTGAGGCTGCACCCCAGAGGAGAACCATGGGGTGCAGAGTCCCAGCTGTGTGTGGGGGTGTGGGGTGGTGCACGGCAAGCCTGGGTCTCAGCCCCGCCTTTTGCGGCCCACGACCTCAGTGACTGTCTCTGAATTGCCTTCTTCCCCTGCACCAAGGGAGCTGGGCTGTCTTCTCCCTGGGCCTTCACTGGTGCTGCCCCTGGGGATCTCTGCTCCTGCTCAGAGGGGGCGTGTCCCATACAAAACTGACAGCACCGGTGTCCTATGTCTTGTGTCATTGGTCCAACACACAGGTGAAACTGAGGTATCATTTATAGACAGCGAGATGCACAAGTCCTGAGTTGAGACCAAGGCAGACAGTCCTATGGTGGCCACCACAATCGGGACTGTCGGCGAGTCCATCACCTCCCAAATTCCCTTCTGCTCTGTTTTTTTTTTTTTTGGTCCCACACCCCCACCCCAGGATTTGGGATTGACCATGAGCCTTTACTCTGAGCTACATCTCAAGCCTTTTATATTTTATTCTGAGACAGGCCTTCATAAGTTGCTAATTACACAGGTTGGGCACAAACTTGCAATCTTCCTACCTCCTGCTGGGACGACAAATGCGCACCACCATACCAGCCCCTTCTGCTGTTTATAGCCTTGGCTTATATTTTTCTGGCTTATTTCACTTAGCATTGTGCATTAGAGAATCAGCTACATTATTGCATATATCAATAGTCCATCCCTTTAAGCTGCTGCATAGTATTCTATTATGAAGACGTACTATACTTCGCTTATTCATTCACCAATTGAAGGACATGTGGGTTGATCCTGCTTTTTGGAAAATAAGAATAAAGAATAGCTTCAGTGTGAACCCCAAGTTCTAGAGCTGGAAGATACTATTGAAAACTAGTGAGATCTTGAGACATAAAAGTAAACTTTTTACCAATAGCTCAACTCTCTTCTTCAACAATTGAAGAAGCAGAGGCCCAGAATAAGGAAGAGGCTTGTCCCAAGTTACAGTAGACTCAGGAGGAGGCATTGAGATTTGAACCCAAGTCTTTCAACTTGCAGAACAATGTAAAGTTCAAAAGCATTTCCTGAGAACCAGAAAAACAATAGAGCCTGCTTGCATTCAGCTGCAAGGATTAAATGAATTAGTGTTTATATACCATAGGAGCAGTGTCTCACATATATTAAAGGCTCTGTAGATGTCAGCGGTGATTGGATGCCTCCTGTGTGAAAACCCTCGAGCCAAGGATTAGGGACGCACTGATGAACAGGAAGGAACTCTCCCCTGCCCCACTGGGACAGCCAGGCAGACCAGCCTGACACAGCACACCAGCCCCCTGGGGGCGGAGATTCTCGAGGTTGCTTTGCTGCTGAAACTTGAGGGCCCCGGAACAGTGCCTGGTGCCTAGCATGTGCTCAGGAAAGGACAGGGGCACTGAAGGGTTCAGGAGAGGTCACACTGTGATCCTTAAAGCTCTGCCAGAGCTTTGGCTAAGTAGGTTGGAGACTGGGGTTGGGTTCAAATCTCAGCTCTGCAACTAGCTGCGTGACCTTGGGCAAGTCACTTCACGCCTCTGAGCCTCATCTTTAACACGGACCACACCTACCTCACCTGGGCTGGAACACTCATCTCAAAAGGCGTGGGTCAGTCTCTGGGAAGCTGACTGGAGGGGACCTGTGTCTCCTGGCTTCTAAATTGGTTGTGCAGGAGCCCATGGCTCTTTTGTGGGGCTGGGTGGCCACCTGCCCTCCTTCTCCAGTGCCTTGGCCCCTCCCCACCTGTCCTCTTCCTCCCCTCTGTCGGGCTTCAGGACCTGCTCTCACCACCTCTGAACCCTGCTGCCTGCCTGTACCCACCTCCCACACTGCACCGCCTCAGCCCCGCGCTTGCCCGTCCTCCTCAACAGCTCCACAGCTCCTCCCCGTCTCCTCACCAAGGTTTGGGCAGAGCAGCTACTCCCCATGCAGCACCAGCCCTGTATTGGGAGCTTTATGCAGGCCTGCTGGGCGCTCCTTCCCAAGTTCAAGGTCACAGAAGGTGTTGCGGACAGCAGGTGTGGTGTGGACAGGGATGGAGGGAAGCCTGGTCCATAGCCTTAGGCCCCACATGTGCCCTCCACACATGTGTGCTGTGCACCAGGACAAACCCAAGGCCTCAGGGCGGAGGATAGGACAGGTGGCCCCATCTGGGACACTTCACTTATAGGGGGATCAGCCAAGAGCCACAGAGGGACTTGCATTTGTCCCCCTTACAGGCTTGTTCCAAGTGCCTTAGCAGGGTACACGGGTGAGGAGAGCTGGGAAGGGCTTCCTGGAGGAGGTGGCATTGCAGCAGGTCTTAGACTACATATGCCACTAAGCTCAGGGAGAGGCAGGGGCATGCCAGGCAGAGCCACTAAGGAGTTGCATGCTTACAGGGTGACATTTATCCAAAGCTCTGGCCTCTTGGGATATATGAGGGACTCTGAGGCATAGGAGGCCACAGGGGAGGGGATCCCTTGATCTCTTCCCTCTGCTGACCCCCAAGGGGTCATGTTGTGTCCCCACTTTTCCAGGCTGGCTGGCAGCTCCGCTGGCTGAAAGCGATCAGGAGGTGGTTCTTCCCGGCCTCCAGCGGCTTCCTCTTCCTGCTCTCTGTAGTCATGACTGGCTGCTTCCTGTGGCAGTACTACCTCCCCAAGCTGCAGACTGGTGCGTGCTGGGCCACCCTGGCAGGTCCTCCTGGGCTCTGAGCTGCCACCTAATCCCAGAGTACAAGGAGGATCATACGATTCAGACTCAAGAGCTCCGGCCTGTACCCTCACTGTGGGTCTTACCAACGGTGAATCTCTGGGCTTCAGCACTGCCATATATAAAACCCAAATTCTAATGACTCTAGGGTTTCCTCAAGCTGCCCAGTCTGGAGGTTGGCAAAAATCAGGGTCCCCCAAAAGTGCCAATAGTCTCTTGCTCTACTTTCGACCACCACGGTCCAAAGACCCTCTCACCACTCTAAGACCCACTCTAAGAACCCCTCATCCAGGAGTCTCTGGTTGGTGACTTTTATTGTAAGAGTCTCTCCTTCCTAAGCTGCTCAAGGGCCAGCAAGGCAGATCACTGCTCTTGATGAACACTAGGCCTTCTGTTGCTATGGCAACTCGGGAACCTCCAGCCTGCTGGGATCTTGGGTGGTCCAGAGCCCAGGCCTCTACTGAAGTGGGGGACGGTGCCTCTCTCCATTCCTGTGTCACCTGTGTTACAGATGTCCCAAAGCTCAGCGAGCACTGGGGGCTCTTGAAATTCCACAGAAATTTTTACAGATATGGTTCTTTTTATTTTCTTGTCCCTTTCTCAACTCTTTTTTCTAGGGTAAATGCCTTTCTGAGGGGCTCCTTAGTTTCTCAAGTAAATAGACCCCAGGTAGGCAGGCAGGCTGGGCCTGTGCCCTAGAAATGTGCTCCTCAAACTGTTAAACTACCAAGCCATAGCAGACTGGTATTACTACAAACACACAATAGTGGCTGCGTGTGGTGGTGCGTGCCTGTGATCCGTGCACTTGGGAGGGTGAGCCTGGAGGATCACAAATTTGAGTTCAGTCTGGGCTATGCAGCAATTTCAAGGACAGCCTGGAGTACATAGTGAGTTCATAGTGAGACTTTGTCTCAAAAAACCAAAACCAAAACCAAATAAAAATGAATTATTAGGAGAACTTTTTAAAAGACATCAGTAAACAGAAGCCCCAATTAAAAATTTTTAAAAAATGTTTTTGGTACTGAGGATTGAACTCAGGACCTCACACTTCCCAAGCAAGCTCTGTGCCACTGAGCTTCATCCCTGGATCAGAAGCCCAAATTTTGTTACTGGAGTTCACAAATGCAAAAATTACTCTGTCAAACTGCTATAAAAGTTTCTAAATACAACTCAGTGTAGTGGTGCATGCCTACACTTGAGAGGCTGAGTAGGGAAGATTGCAAATTTGAGCCCAGCCTGGGCAATTTAGTGACGAGTGAGACCCTGTCTCAGAATAAAAAATAAAAAAAGGCCTGGGGATGCAGTTCAGTATGAAGGCTCTGGGTTCAATTCTCAGTCCCCAAAACAAAAACAAAAAGAAAACATTCTCATGCTTTTTCTCCAGTTTTGTACAAATTGGAAATAAACAGTCCATGATCTACAGACCACATAGACCACATAGACCCAGGCCCTCATCCTCCCATGGGAGTTGCCCGAAGGACTGTCAGAAGTGAGCACTCACTGAATCAAGTCAGATTTTCAGATTCCCAGGTAGCTTGCTGTGCACGTGTACAGACCTACCTGGTCCCTGGCTCACAAAGCCAAGGTTCTAAACCTATGCCATCCACTTGTTGAGAGAACCATCCTAAGGCAATTTTCCTGTTTTATCTATTGCTAAGTAACAAGCCACCCTAAACCTATTGGCTGATTATTTCTCGTGACCCTGGGCTGGTCGAAAGTTCTGCTGGGCATCTAACCTGAGCTCTGTCCAACGCAGTGGGCAGGTCAGCTGGGACCAGGGCCTCACGCTCCCTGGTGTCTTCTTCTCTCAAAGCCATCATCCCAGGCCTGTCCACAAGGTGGCAGTGTCTCTAGGAAGCAAGTCTCTTAAGAGCTTGCCTTATAAGTTACACAATTAGTTCAGCCTCACTTGATTGGCCAAAGCAAATCGCAAGTCAGTCTTTTCTCAGGCCCCTTAACATCCCATATGGGCCTCAGAGGAGAAGGCAGGAACTGGGGGCTGCTGGGATCTACCAAGCCTGAATCCTGTCCTGCCAACCTCCCCAGCTGAAGCTGCTCCCTGAGGTTTCAGGGCAGCTGCACCCTGGACAAAGACAGAACAGACTCGAGGCCCTGATGTTGGATGCCCATCTCTGGTGACAGAGTTGTCCCTGGTGTTTAAGGCCTGAAGCCACATGAGGCTCCCAGTCCACCCCAACACACGTACTCAGCACGAGGAAGGAGAGGTAGATGGATAGCTGTGCTGAGCCTGCCCTGAGGAGCCAGAGCTTGGTTCACTAACCACATGGAGGGAGCAAGCTGGTGGAACACAGAGCGGGGGCTCGTCCACTGCCAGCAGGATCTGTGCCCCAGTGACAGTCACCAAGGCCGGGCAGCAGCGGCAGTGTGGACTGGGCCTTCTCTGGCTGGACCTCAGTGCGGTGGCTGGTCCCTGAACTGTCCTGCTGGCTGGGGAGGACTGTCCCCAAGGCATGACACTAGCCTTTGCTGCCAGCTTTCCTTCTCCTCCAGGATGACCCCTTGGTTCCTTTCCTTATCTTGGTCCCCCACTTACCACGTGATGCTCCCTCCAGGTTCCTTGGGATCAGAGGGGACCTCTGTTCCTGTGAGGATGTGTCCCCAGCACCCTGAACCTCTGCCTCTGGCTCACCCACTCCCTGTGTTGGAGGAGGCCCTGGAGAAGGTCAGTGATGACCCAGGAGGGGTGTGTGTATGTGGAGGCCTGGGTAAAGGAGGGGCGTACTCTTTTCAGGCAGTGGCACCCATTCAGCCTACTCTGTGCTTGGCCCCAGGGATAGGGCAGGAAGAAGACACTCACCTGCCTTCTAGAAACCACCAGCCTGGGAGTGAAGGGAGCAATCGAGATGACAGATGTTTCTAACACAGGGGCAAGCGTGAGGACAAGGAAAGTTGAGGAGACTGTGGGCACCGAGGAACTGGCCTTGGAGTCTGGAAGTAGCAGTGTACAGGGTGCGATGTGAATAAGTAGATACCCAGATGAGGTGTGTGTGTGGTCAGGGAGCTTGGGGGTGCAGGGGTGTGCTCCAGACAGAGGGAGCAGCATGTGCAAAGGCCCTGAGGCAGAAGACTGAGTACATGGTGCACACAGAACTCTAAGAAGCCAGAGGTGGGAGGGGGGAGAAGTTCAGGAGGGAGCAGATGACAGAGCCCATATCACAGAGGCCACTGCAGTGTGACCAAACACAGGCATGAGCATACCACAACACAACACTTACTACTGCAGGGTGGCCCTGATCTGTGCCGTCAGGCCCCATGCACTTAGGTCCCTCACCTCAGGAGTCACAGAGATGACAGGAACATGATCAGAACCACATGAACAGCAGCCTGCTGGGAGGCTTGAAACTGCCATCCAATAGCCGCTGAAGGGAAGTGGGTGACGTCCAGTCCATGGGCAGGAGGCGAGCATGGGCCAATGAGGAGACAAGAGAAGCTCCAGGGGAGGAGGAGAGCAGAGAGGGTGCTGTGTGGTGCCCAGGGGTCACAGTAATTGAAACAAAGAGTGACAGTCATCGCCATAGCTGCCTTCTGCTGAGCATGTGGTGAGTGCTGGGTGCCATGGTGCCTGTTTGTGCCCACACCTCATGAATCCTCATCTGTGCAGGGGAAACTGAGGCTCAGAGAGGCAAAGTTAGCACAGGGGTGGAAAGCAGCTCAGCTCAGGATAGGTGAAACGGTGGGCAAGGTGTCCGGCTGTCATTAGGAAGGGGCTGCAGTTAGGGATGCTCCCGCTCTTGATCCCAGTGGCCACTAGTGTGTGGGCATGCATGGCATTTCACACCTCAGAGACTCGGCTTTTGCAACCATTAAATGGGGAGAAATTAGCACTGACTATGAGGATCAAGTAAAATAATGAATGAAAATCACTATGCCATGCCTGGGATATTCTAAATGTCCAATAAACATTAGCTGTCATCTTTACCCTTATACTTCATCATTGAAAATAACCAGGCAAATTTTAAGAAATATTCCACAAGGGGCCTATAAATAGTGGATTCCTCAACACAGGGTATTCGATTAAGCCCCAGAGAGGTTTTTCTGGGGTATCAGGCAAGGGTTTGATTAAATCAGGAATTTTTTTTTTTTTTTTTGGGTACTGGGGATCGAACTCGGGTCTTTGAGCTTGTGCAGCAGGCAGCGAAACCACTGAACTAAATCCCGGCCCTAAATCAGGAATTTTAAAGCTTCCTTTTTCTTTTGGTGTTGAGGATGGAACCCAGGACCACATACCTGCTAGGCAAGCACTCTACCACTAAGCTACATCCTCAGCCTCCCTTCCTCCTTTTTCACTTTGCTAAGGAAATGTTTCTTTGAGCAAAACTCTTTTGAGGAAGCCCTGTGAATAACACAGCCTGAGTAAAGCTGGGCCCCTTGGGATGTGGTTGGGACCGGGAGGGCTGGAGCTCGTGGAGGCACTGTGAGAAGGGCTGGCTGTGGGAATGGGTGGGGGTGCAGGTGGGGCCTGTCACTGTACCCACACTCTGAGCCTGCTGGTTTTCTCCCCCAGGTGGATGGGATCCTGCGCCAGGCCATGTCCATGCCAGGCCTGGCTGCCATGTCTGCAGTTGTCATCCACAATGACACTGTGCTCTGGACTGGGAACTTTGGGAGGAAGAATGGCTCAGGCCCCAATTCTGGGGTCCCCAATAAGTACACCATGTACCGGTCAGCTGGGTGATCTCTAGGGTCCTACGGATGGTGTAGGGTGGGAAGGCAAGGGACCCAGGCGGCAGGGAGACCCAAGAGAAGTATGCTGGGGTGTCCAGCTGCCAGCACCCATGATCAAGTCCTTCCAATTCCATGGAAGAGGAGGCTGAGGTCCAGAGGGCACCAGTGAGTGCCCAGTGAGTGTCACACCACGGGGGTGGTCAGTCAGGAGGGACCCCTCCTGGCAACCTTGGTCCCAAACCAGCAAACTGGAAAAGGACCCCTGTGCCACCCACCTCCTACCCTTTTCATGTGCCATCAAAACCTGTACCCAGCTCCTGGGCTTTCGCCCCAGGTCCCCGTGAGTTGGCAGCAGCACCCCAGATGGAAGCAGCTTAGGACACTGAGCTGCACACCAAGTCCCCCCTCCTCATAGCTCACACTGCAAAGTGGACATTCATTCCCAGGGATGCTGTGGGGATGACGGGGTCAAGAGCAAATTAACCCTCATGCTGCCTGCTCCAGGCCAGGTCTGCGGCCCACCCCAACAAGCACTTTACACACATCCTCCCCTTCTGTCCCTTTTATGACATGTGAAGCAGACAGGGAAGCTGCCTCAGAAAGGTCTAGTAACTTGCCCAAAGCCACACAGCCAGTGGGAGGCAGAGGACAGATCTAACCCAGGCCTGTCTCACAATGGAAAGGGCCTGGCACAAGGCTGGTGCTCAAGTGTGCCCATCCTGTCCCACCGGCCCCTCTGCTTCTGGTATGTTCTCAAGTATCCTCTGTCCAAAGGCAGCTGCAGACAGGCTCAGGAACTTCCATCCCAGACACTGACTAGTGGGTTCAGTCTTTTCTAGAACACAAGGGTATGGGGGGTGGAGGCACAGGGCAGGGCCTGGCTGTGGACAGCAGGCTGCCGTCTGCACCTGTGCCCCCATCATGGTGCAGGATCTCCAGCATCTCCAAGATCTTTCCAGTCCTCATGCTGTACCACCTGTGGGAGGCGGGCACCGTGGCCTCCCTAGATGACCCCCTGGAGCGCTATGCCAGCACCTTCACCATTCACAACCCACTGGGCATGGCCTCAGCCCCCCAGCACCAGGGCCTGCTGGATGGACTAGAGGAGGTGGACCCAGCCCCCAGGACTTTGGCTGTCACCCTCTGAAGGATGGCCAGCCAACTTTCAGGTGAGTCTCAGGGCTTAGCTGGCCTGACCTAAACTATCTCAGGTGGGGACTGAGTCCCTGCTCTGTGTCCTGTGTTGGCTATATTCCCATGCCAGGGCTTGGGTGGTGGACTGGGATAGAAAGAGCTCAAGAGATAAAAGCTGAAGTGAAGCCTAGGAGTTTAGATCATGTAGACAATTCAGTTTGCAGGTCAAAATCAAGTCAATGGGTTAAGATCTGCTTAGCAGATCTACAGCAAGTCATCAAGTAATTTGGCAAGGAAGACCCAGCGCCCCTCAATGTGCATGTAAAGATCATGTACAAGTCAGCACAGCACTGGCCACAAACAGCACAGCAGAAACACAGGTGAAGGGTAGGAGCAGAATCGACAATTCACAGAAGAGGCCCTCAAGAATATGTAAAAATATTAAAAGATGATAGATGCTCAACCTCATTCATAACAAAATTAATGCAAATTAAAACTACATGGAGGGAACATATTTTCCCCCTACCAGTTTGGCAAAGATAAAAATAGCGGATGCACCAAGTTGGTGAGGGTGTGGTGAAACAGACCTTCTCCTCCATCAGTGGTGGGGTATAAAGAGATGAACCATGTGGAGGGCAGCTGGCAGCAGTCACCACAACATAAAATATAGGGGCTGCAAGTACAGCTCAGTGGTACGGCAGGTGCTGAGTGTGCACAAGGCCCTGGGCTCCACCCCCAGCACACACACACACAGTATATGCCCTAGTACTCTACTCACACATGGGTGGTATGAAGTATGTCCACAGTAATTTACTACTGAACTGTTTGTGATAATAAAAGATGGAAACAACCTACATGCCCGTCAATAGGGGACTAACTAAATAATTGAATAAATGATGACACAACTATACAAATGCCATATAGCCCTAAAAAAGGGTAAAAATATTCTTTGTGTATTGAGATGGGATAAAATAAATACTAAGTAGGAAAAAAATCTCTTAAGAGCCTATACTGTATGCTACCATACAGAGAATAAAAATATATGTACATAAAATGTTTATGTCGATATGTTTCAGATCTATACGCATATATAATGTATCTGTAATGTACACATTCTGTATCACACATATATTACATGGTGAAGTATGTATTAGTTTAAATATGCATCAAATATCTTTGGAAGGAAACTAAAGAAACTGAAACATCCAGCTGCCTCCAGGGAGGGGAGAAGGCTAAGAGGAAAATTTTTCATTGTATACCCTTTGGTGTTCTTTGGATTTTGAATCATGTAAATGAACTGCTTATTAGAAATAATTTATTAAAGATAATCATCATAAAGTATGCTAACAAGGCTGGATAAAGGGGATAAGGTGGAGGGGCAGGAGCAGGCTGGTGCTTAGAGACAAAGCAGGGGACAGGAATTGGGGAGGGATGGGTAGGAAGGGGGCAGGGTGGGAGGGACCCGGCCAGAGGGGAAGGACTGCTCTGGGTGCTTCTGGAGGACCCTCTGCGGGCCTTTGTGCCCATCTGCCAGCACGGGTGGGGGTGCTGGTCTAAAGAGAAGGCGTGGGGAGAGGTGCCCTGCTTTGTGGTGACTGACTTGGTGAAGGGGAGGAAGGCAGGCACCATCTGTCCCACCCCAAATGCCTTTGATGGCCCATATTTGTGGTCATTGATCCATCGACCCAAAATGTCGGTGTCCCTCACCAGTGCCACCACCTCATCATTTTACAAGGTGCACCCAGGCCGGAGCTCTCAGCCAGTGGATGTGGCTGCTGTCACTTGTGTGCCCAGAATCTGAGGCTGAGTGAGAGGATGGGTGCTTCTGAGGTGGCACATGTAGGACACAATCAGTCTTCTTGAGGAAGAGTGGCCCCATGGCTAAGCGCACAGCACAGAAGCGCCAGCTCTGCCTTCTTGTTGTGTGTTCTCGGGCAGATCCCTTAAACTCTCTGAGCCTTGCTGTCTCCCTTGTAAATTAACTGTGGTTAAGGCTGTGACGGGTGATGAAATGGATTAACAAGTATAACTGAGTGAGGACCTGGCACCTGGCAGACACTTGCCTAGGTACCTCTGCATAGAACTCTGGCGGGCTCAGGATTGGGGGAGCCTGATGAGGATAACTTTGGGGGTCCTCTTTAAGAACACAATATTATAAATTTAAGATTAGATACAGGCCTTGGATGGAGGTGTGCTGTGAACTCAGATCCAGGTGGTGGGGTGCCCCTTGTGACTCTAGGGCTCCCTCTAGGGGTGTGCTATGGCTTCATTTATACAAAGCACAGGGCTCTGTGAGCGGTCAGTTTCACACCCTCCCTGACTCTTCTCTGTTCCAAGAGGCCAGCTGAACAAGCTGCTGCCTGAACAACACCATACTAGGCTGTATTTCTCTTTGGCCCTCACTCTACCCCAGGGTTTCCCCCACTCTAGAAGCCCTTCATTCTTTCTATAAGTCCTGCAGTGTCTGGCAGGGAACCACTGCAGGCACTTCAGTCCACTTAGAAATGAGTGAAGGGAGCCTCAGAGAAGGGAAGCAACGAGGTTTGGGGCTGAGCATCAAGTCCTGGAGCCAGAATTTGAATCCAGGACTTGGGAGGGGGGGTCCATCTCACTGTTCTTGCCAAAACTTTGTAGTCACCCCTCAGGGCTCTCTCTCACTTCCAAATCCAAAAATTCCCTCCAGGAGCAAATCCTGTTGGCTCTACTATCAACAATGTCCAGAATCCAGCCACCCCTCATCGCCTCTGCTTTTAGCATACTGGTCTCAGCCTCTATCACCTAAGCAAGAATCTTGCTGGGTTTTTTGGTTTTTTTTAAAAAAAATGTTTTTAAAAAGAACTTTATTATCAAACACACACACATACAAAAATTAAAACCATTCAAAGAAGAACAATGCAAGGGAAAAAAACTACAATAATATTCAAATACAGTAGATCTCAACCAAAAGAAAACTGAAAAGCACTTAAACATTTTTCCATATAACTTAAAAAGCATCTGAAGCACCAATAAGACACCAGAGGATGTGATTTGTTTCAGAAAGATCCCCAAAACCAACACTAAATAAATAGTGGCCTGGAAAAAACTCCAGCTAGCAGACTCCACATAAGCCAAACTTCTCCTAATTTAAATTTTGATACAGTCATATGACACGCGATGGAAACAAAATCCAAGAAATATGTTATTAGGCCATTTCATCCGTGTGTATCCTTAATTAAACTCTCAGTTTCTCACAAAAGAGAAACTATTTTGTATTTACACGTGTGTCCTATTTATTTCACTTAAAAGGATGGCCTCAATATGCATCCATTTACCTATAAATGTCTCTAGTTTCTCGTTCTGTATGGCTAAGGAGTACTCTATTTTATAAAACCCCCACATCTCCTTTATCCAGCTTCCAGTTAATGGGCACTTGGGCTGTTTCCAAGCTTTCACTATTACGAACTGTGCCGCCATAAACATGGGTGCACATATATCACTGTGGTATGATTCTTTTAATTCTTTTGGGAAGATACCCAGCAGGGGGATAGCTGGGTCAAATGGGACCTCTAAGCCTAGTTCTTTGAGGTATCTCCATACTGATTTCCACAGTGGTTGCACCAGTCTGCACTCCCACCAACAATGGAGAAGGGTTCATTTCTCCCCACACCCCCACCAGCATGTTATTTGTTGATTTCTTAATAGCAGCCATTCTTTCTGGGGTGAGGTGGAATCTCACTGTTGTTTTCATCTGAATATCTCCAATAACCAGTGATGTTGAACATTTTTTCATATGTTTATTTGCTGCTTTTACTTCTTTGTCTGAGAAATGTCTGTTCATTTCAGATGCCCATTTTTGAATTGGGTCTTTGAATTTGGGGGGTCTGATTTTTTCAGTTCTTTATACATTCTAGATAGTAGTCCTTTGTCTGAGGTACAGTTGCTGAAAATTTTTTCCCATATTGTAGGTTGTCTCTCAGCTCTGTTGGTGGTTTCTCTTGCAGTGCAGAAGCTTTTTAATAAGATCCCAGTTGTTGATTCTTTGTCCAAGTTCCTGTGCCACTGAGGTTTTGTTCATAAAATCTTTTCCTAGAGTTCTACCTGAGTTTGACCCCTGGTACCAAAAGAGTTATACCTAACTTATCTTCCAGCAAATTTAGTGTTTCTGTCTTAATATTTAAATCTTTAATCCACTTCAAACTTAATTTAGTGCATGGTGATAGGTAAGGGTCTAATTTTAATCTTTGGCAGGTTGAAATCCAGTTTTTCCAACACCATTTATTAAATTTTTCTTTCCTCCAATGAGGATGGTTGGCTCCTTTGTCAAAGATGAGGTGGCTGAGCATATCTGCAGTCATTACTGCATCTTGTAATCTATTCCACTGATCCTCGGGTCTGTTTCCTGGTTTGTTTTTTGAGACAGGGTCTTGTTATGTAGTCCAGGCTGGCCTTGAACTTGTATCTATCCTCCTGCTTCAGCCTTCCACTTGCTGGGATTATAGGCGTGTATCACCATGCCTGGCTTTTAGTAAGGATTTCAGAAAGTCTTTGCATAAGCTTCCCTGTTTCTGCCATTGTCCCCAAGTTCTTTTTTTTTTTTTTTTTTTTTTGTACCGGGGATCAAACTCGGATCCTTCTGCTTGCAAGGCAGGCGGCAGAACCACTGGGCTCAATCCCCGGCCACCCAAGTTTTTTTTTTTTTTATACAGCAGCCAGAGGGACCTTGGTAAATGTGTTGGATTATGTCATTCTTTTGCTCAGAAACCTCTGCAGTGGCCCCATCCCATGCCGAGGGAGAGCTAAGTCCTTCCACTATGGGGTCCTGTAGGATCTGGTACCTGCACCCCAATGTCTCTTACCTGTGATCTCTGCCTTTCTCACTCCTTTTCAGCCACACTGGCTGTTCCATACTGTCCCTCAAATATGTCAGCACATGCCTGCCCCAGGGCCTTTGTATTTGCTGTTCTCTTTGCCTAAAGCATTCTTTCATTACATCTGCATGGCTCATCTTCTCCAGATGTCACCTTATGAAGGGTCACCTTCTCCACGAGGGTGACCACTTTGTATTGTAACTCCTCTCATTGAAATATCCTTCTCCATAGCACAAATACTTACTTGCTTGTTGTCTGTGCCCTCCACCATAATGTCAACACCACACTGGCAGAGACATGGTTTTATTTCCTGCTGAGTCCCCAGCACCTTGAATTGGCATAGGTGGTAAAAAATTATTGATGAGTGGAGGGATGGAAGGGATCTGAATCCTGAGATCCTTTCAATACTGTCACATCCAATAAACAGAAAATTCCAAGAGGAAGGGCAGCCAGTTCCACAAAACACATTTGATCGTTGACATCAAGAAATGTATGGAAATTGAACTTTCCATAGTTGATGACAGTTTTTTTTGTGTGTGTGGTGCTGGGGATCAAACCTGGGACCTCTTGAATGCTAGGCAAGTGCTGTACCACTAGCTACACCCCCAGTGCCTAACAATTATTTTTGGAGCAGTTAGTATGTAGCAGGCACCATGCCAAGCATTTTATCCCATCTACTCCTCATACCAGCCCTATGACATAGGAATTGTTTCCCTCACGTTACAGAGAAAGGACTAGGGCTCAGAGGTTTGGTGACTCCCCCACGCCCCCACCCAGTGCAACCCTGGCCCATCAGGTCTGACACTGCTGTTCCCTAGGGTTGCCCAGAAGGCTTCGCTCCACATTGCTGCTGTGGAGGGGCAGCACCCAGGAGGTCCTGAGCCTACTCAAGGATGATGTGCTGGTGGCCGACCCAGGGACCAGGAGAGGACCTCGTCCAAATGCTTCATGCATGCTAGGGGCCTCCACAGGAGACGTGACCACTTGGGAAAGTGCTTCATCCTGGATGCTCAGAGTTAGGAGGGACCTCAGGGGTCACTGAATTTAGCCCCGTCCTATGACTGGGAAAACCAAGGCCTAGTAGGGGAGCCACAGCAAGGTACAGGGGAGCCCAGAATCCAGTTCTGTTGGAAGCTCCTGTCCTTTCATCCATCAACTCCACATTTCTTAAGGACCTACTCTGCTCAAAATGTGCTAAACATTGAGATATAGCAGCAATCAAATCAGACCAAGGCCCTTCTCCTGGAGTTTACATTCTGATGAGGGAGACACAGTGAACAAGTAAACAAGATAAATACAGATTTGCCATGATAGAAATACATGGGATACTGTTGATATCAGGGGTGGGCGACCAGTAATTAGAACAGAGAAGCCAAGCTCTGGGAGCAGCGGGGCTTCGGGGCTGGAGGACAGCTGGCACTTCCTTTCCTTGGAGGTCCCCTTCCAGGCTCACCTGTCCTGGGCTGTGCTGCTTTTCCAAATTTCCCTCTGCTTCTCCAAATGCTGGGCCTCAGGCTCCACTCCCCTTGAGGAAGGCACTCAGGCCATACAGACAGGTGATGCTTTCGTGACTGTGGGTAGCACCGGGCCCTCTCAGCTCTGCTGTGACTGCCATGTTGTGAACCTCACCATCTCGGCATTTGGCCCAGCGTGCATCCCAGAGTGCATCTTATGATGTGCAGATCTACCTCCGTCCCATTCCTTCCTGAGCCTTGATCTTAGAGGATGACATTGCACCCCCACTCAATGACCACTGGTAGATGCCACAGACTGGGAGAAGGGAGGACGAGACCCCACCTCATAGTTGTTACTCGGGTTACTTGATGAGCATTATGTGTCTTCCTCAAACAGTCCAAGAATTTACTCTTCCATTTGATAAAATAAATCATACTAGAGTGGAAAGGAACAGTACAATTTGTTGTACCATTTTCCCATGTGCACATCTGGTGCCATCCTGGGCAGCTCCCTGCTCCCCTCTGGCCTTAGTCTTCCCAAGGGTAGAACCCTATGATTTCTGAAGTCTCTTGGGTCTGACCATCTGGGGTGCAGGCTCCTTCCTAACCCTACCCACTCTTCGAAGCTCTGCTGGCATTTCAGCAGTCTGAGGAAGCAGGATAGGGTGGCATGGGGCCTGGAGATGTTCTGGGGACTGCATCCCAGCACCCACGGCTCTCCTTCCTTCCAGGTGCCATTACAGCACGCTGGCCTTCTCACTGCTGGCGCACGTGCTGGCGGCCCATACCGCCCAGGGTGACTACCAGCGCTGGGTCTCAGAGAACGTACTGGAGCCGCTGGGGATGGCGGACACGGGCTTTGACTTCACGCCCTCGGTGCGTGCCCGCCTGGCCGCAGGCTTCTACGGCAGCGGACGGCCCGTGCTGCTCTACGACCTGGGCTGGTACCGCCCGTCCGGCCAGATGTATTCAACGACCGCCGACCTGGCCAAGCTGGCCGTGGCGCTCCTGGGCGGCGGCCCCCAGAGGCTCCTGCGGCCCGATGCGGCCAAGACGCTGCTGGCGCCCCTGCTGGCGTGCCCCGCCGCCTACTTCGCCAACGAAACGGGCACGCTGTGGGAGTTCCACACGCAGCGAGGCTACCGCGTGGTGTGGAAGGACGGCGACCTGGACGGCTACGCCGCCACCTTCTCGCTGGTGCCCCCGCTGCGCCTGGGCCTGCTGCTGTTCCTGGCCGGACCTCGGCCTCCCGGGCGCGACCTGGTGGCGGAGGCCTACGACGTCCCTGGAGCGCGCGCTCTGCCAGGCCAAGCGCAGCCCCGCGCCGCTGCCCAGCGAGCGCCCCTTCGCGGGCTACTTCACCTTCGCCAACCTGACCTACGAGGTGCGAGCCGGGCCGGCGGGCGAGCTGCGCCTGCGCCAGTTCGGGCCTCCCATGGAGGCGCTGGTGCCGCCCGCCTTCCGCACGCTCGGCCTGCGCCATGTGCGCGGCCGCGTCTTCCAGCTGCACGTGGCCGGCGAGTTCCCGTGCGCGCTGCCGCTCGGCGACGCCTGGTTCTCGCTGGAGGCCCAGCACGGGCAGCTCATCAGCTTCTACCCCTTGGATCACCACGGCCTGTCCCCGGGCTTCGACGTGCCCGGCCTCAACACTTACCGGGTGCTGAGAATGCAGCGAAAGCCCGTGTTCAAGACCCAGTGACCCCGGGCGATGTCTGGGGCCTCCAGTCCCCTTGGCCTGCAGCTTTCCAACCTGAGGAGGCTGCGAAGATGCTGAGAGCCCGAGGAGTCGGCTGAGTAGGGTAGGCGGTGCTACTTAACGTGTCCTGGACCACAGCCAATTTGCAAACTGTCGGAGGAGGAGTTAAGAACAGAAATTGAGTGAGCAGTTAGAAACTTTTGGAAGCATTTAGAAGTTTTACTTTTGTGTCTCTTGAACCTAAGACAAAGCATAAGGTTATATTTTGTCCCCCCCCCCCGGAGTTTTTGAGACAAGGTCTGACTACATAGTCCGGGCTGGCCTCAAACTCATGATCCTCCTGGATTAGTGTCCTGAGTACGGACTTCAGGCATATGCCACCACGCCTGGCTATATTTTGTCATTTTAAAATCAACCATACAGTGTTATAATTTACCAAAAATGCAACACATTAAGGTACAGTTTGTTTGCAGCCCTGGAGGTGCAACCCAGGGCCTCATGCATGCTAGGCAAGCTCTCTACCATTGAGCTACATCCCTAGTCCCAGTGAGATGATTTTGATAAGTATTTAAACCCATTGCCATATTCAAGACACAGGAAATCTCCTTCAATCCCCAGAGATCCCCCCTACTCTTCCTTTGTAGTCAGTTCCCTTACCCTCACCCAGCCCGAAGCAACAGCTGATCTGCTTTCTGTCACTATAAATTAGTTTTGCCTGTTCTAGAATTTCATTAAAATAGAATATACAGTGGAGTCTTTTGTGTCTGTCCTCTGTGGCTCAGCATGCTGTTCATGTGTGTGTATATATCAATAGTTGGCTGCACTTCATTCCATTGTATAGATATGCCACAATTTGCATATCCTTTCACCTGTTGATGGATATTTGGGCCATTTCCAGATTGGGGATATTGTGAAAATGCATTCTTGTACTAGTTTTTTTGTGAACACATGCTTTCATATTTCCTGGGTAAATTTCTAGGTATGACTGCCATGCACTTTTCCAAAGCACCTGTACCATTTTATATCCCCAAACAGCAGTAAGCTGGTTCAGTTGCCCACACTTTTGGCTTTTATGTGACATTGTCAGTCTTTAATTTTAACCATGTTGGTGGTTGTGAGTCATATCTAGATCACTGTAGCTTTAACTGCATTGTATTTATTAAATTGTAAAAGCATTTATTTTTTATATTGGTGGTGGTGGGGATGGAACCCAGGGCCTTCACACTAAGATGCATCTCCAATCCTTTCTTATGTTTTAGTTCTGAGGCAGGGTCTTGCTAAATTACTGAGTTTCCCAAGCTAGGCTCCAATTTATAATCCTCCTGCCTCAGCCTCCCAGAGTGCTGGAATTATAAGCATGTGTGCTGCCACACCCTGCTGAAAGCTCTTTATATACTCTGAATACAAGTCCTTTGTAAAATATATGTATTGCAAATAAATTTCCCCATTCTTAGGCTTGCCTTTTTATTTTCTTAATGGTGTCTTCCTTTTTTTCTTTTCCCACTATGAGGGATTGAACTCAGGACCTTGCATTTTCAAGGCAGGCATGATGCCACTGAGCTAAATCCCCAGCCCTCTTAATGGTGTCTTTTGAAGGCAGAGTTTTAACATTTTGATGGATTTTATGAGTATTGAACCTAATACAGAATTCAGGCTTATATTTTGTATATCTTTTAAAAAATTAATCTTTTTAATTCGAGACAATTATAGATTCTAATGCAAGGGTAAGAAATAATTAGTGTACCTTTTACCCAGTTTCCTCCAATGGAAAATCTTGGAGAACTATAGCAAGTAAGATATTAATGTAAGATAGTCAAAGTTCAGAACATTTTTCCTAGCATAAGAATCTCTCCTTGCTGTTTTTGCCACACTCACTTATTAGCCCCACCCTGTCCTTCACCTATGACAACTGCCAGACTGTTCTGTTTGTAGAAATTTATCATTTCAAGAATGTTGTATAAACAGAGTTAGACAGTATGTAAACTTTTGGGATTTTTTTTTTCTTCCGTAGTGAAGTTTTGGGGAGAGTCATTTCAGGTTGTTGTAAGTATTAATAGTTTGTTTCTTTCTGTTGCAGAGTAGTAGTTCCATGGATGCACCAACCAGGGAAGTAGCACAATTTGTCTAACCATTAAAGGACATCTGGGTGGTTTCCAGTTTGGGGCTGTTTTGAGTAAAGTTGAGCTGAACCTTTGTTTACAGGCTCTTGTGTGAACTTGTTTTTATTTGTCTGGGATAAGTGCCCAGGAGTGCAGCTGATGTGTCATATGGCAGTTACATGCTGACTTTGTTAAGAAAAGCCCACCCCATGTTTTCCAGAGTGGCCATACTATTTTAGTTTCCAGCTAACAATGCATGCATGATCTAATTTTTTCCATATCTTTTGCCAGTATTTGGCATTGTCACTTTTTAAAAAAATGGTACCATTAAATCCCTAAATTGCAAGTGGCTGGGCTCCAATTTGTGATTTTCCTGCCTCAGTCTCCCAGAGTGCTGGGATAACAAGTGTGAACAAACTATTATTTTTTATTTTAGTAATTTTGATAGATGTGTAATGGTATATAATGATGGTTTTAATTTTCATTTTCCTAATAGCTGATGATGTTTAACATTTCCTTGTGCTTTTTTTGCCATTTGTATATGTATCCTCTTCAGTGAAATATCTGCTTTTAGCTTTTTTCCATTTTCTAATTGAGTTCTTTAAAAAATTACACTTTGAGGTTTTTTGGTTTTTTTTTTTTGGTACTGGGGATTGAACTCGGGTCCTTGTGCTTGCTGGACAGGCGGTGGAATCACTGAGCTAAATCCCCCCATACACGTTGAATTTTAAATGTTCTTATGTATTCTAAATACTGGCTCTTTGTGGAATATATAGTTTGTAAATATTGACTAGTCTGTAGCTTGTCTTTTTATCCCTTTGGGATCTTTTGGAGAGCAGCATGTTAAAATTTTAACCAAGTCCAATTGTGGTAGGCTGAATAATGGTTCCCAGAAGATGTATACATCCTCATCTTTGGAACCTGTTATATCATATGACAAAAAGGACTTTGTAGCTGTAATTTACTTAAAGATCATGAGATAAGAGGATGGTATTGGATTACCGGGATGAGCCATAAATTTGATCACAAACGTCCTTATAAGAGAGAGGTAGAAAAAAGGAGAGGTAGGGGATGATTTAATGCTGAAGATGAGAGAGCCTTATCTCAGAGGCAGACTGGAGTGTTGGAACCGAAAACCAAGGTCTGGAAGAGCAATTGATGAATTCTCCCCTGTGGCCAGTAGAGGGAGTTTGGCCCTTTGATTTTGGCCCAGTGATGCTGATTTTAGACTTCTGGACTCCAGAACTTTGAGAGAATAAATTTCTTCATCATTTCTTTTTCCCTTTTTTGTTTTTTTTGGCTGTACTGGGGATTGAACCCAGGACCTTGTGCTTACAAGGCAGGCATGGTGCCACTGAGCTAGATCCCTGGCCCGAGAGAATAAATCTCTATTGTTTTAAAACCACCGATCCTGTGGTACTTTGTTATAGTTGCCACAAAAACTAAATATACCAGTGTGTCAATATTTGCTCTTATTGATCATGCTTTTTGATGTCTAAGACTCTTTGCCAAGGTCCCAAAGATTTTCTCCTATGGTGTTTTCTAAAAGTTTTATCATTTTATGTTTTATTTTTAAGCTTGTGATCCACTTTGAGGTTTGGGTTGCGGTTCCTGTTTTTGCCTGAGGATGTCTGGTTATTTCAGCATTTACTTGAAACAGCTACCTTTCTTCCACTGGGTTCCCCTTTCACCATTGTTAAAATCAGTTGGACACTTTTGCATGGCTCTGTTTCTGGGTTCTCTCCTGTCCATTGATCTGTATGTCTGTCCCTCCATCAGTACAACATAGGCTTGATTACTGTAGCTGCATGTAAGTCCTAAAGTTGGGTAGGTTAATTTTTCTCACTTTATTATTTTTCAAAGTTTTTTTAGCTATTCTAGGTTTTTATATGTAAAATTCCTCTTCTTCCTCCTCCCCCCTTCTTCCTCCTCCTCTCCTTTCTGATTGGACCCAGGACTATGTTCCTAGCTCCACAATGATCTTGTCTATATCTATAAAAAATCTCGCTGAGATTTTAATAGGAATTTTATTGAATTTATATACAGTAAGTCCCTGAATTAGAAGCAAGTTCCATTTCAGAAGAATGTTCGTAAGTTGGATACATTCGTAAGTCCCACAAAGTGAGTCTTAAACACCTTTGACCCAAATATACAGTGTATATTGCTTTGCACTTCCTAGCAGTCCCCTCTACATCACCACTGGTTTTCCTTTTGCTTCTGGACATCCTGGGCTCTACTGTCCTACTGTACACTTTGCACTGTACAGTAAGCACACAGCAGCACAACTGTGACAATGTCTGGCAGACAAGTGAGCTACACCGAGATTTGTTCACATCTATGAATGTTTATAATATGGGGTCTGTTCGTATCTGTGAAAGTTAGTAACTGAAATGTTCATGAGCTGGTGATTTACAGTATCAATTTGAAATTGGCATTTTTACTATGTTGAATGTTTCAATCTGTAAATACAATATGCCTCTTTTTATTAATATTTTGGTTTCTTTCATCAACATTTTGTACTTTTTGAGCATATAAATCCTGTACAAGTTTCATTAGATTTAAACCTAAGCATTTCATTATTTTGAAGTGTTTAAATGGCTTTGTATTTTTTTTTTTTGGTACTGGTTATCGAACTCAGGACCTTGTGGTTGTGAGGCAGGCAGCGCAACCACTGAGCTAAATCCCTGGCCCAGTGGCTTTGTATTTTTAATGTTAGTATCCACGTATTCAATTGATTTCAGTTGTATTCTCTGACCTTTCCATATTCATTTATTCATTATAGGAGACTTTTTTGTTTTTGGTACAGTCCTTGGGATTTTCTACGTAGACAATCATGGCATTTAATAAGTAGGGACAGTTTTGTTTTTTCTTTCCAATCGGTATACTTTTTCATTTAGTTTTCTTGCTCTATTTCACTGGCTAGAATTTCTAGGACTTTATTGAATAGGAAGGGTGAGAGTGGAGATCCTTACCTTGTTGCCAGAGTTTAGGAAGAAAGCGTCCAGTCTTTTATATCAAGTGTCAGGTCAGCTGTAGGTTTTTTGTAGATGCTTTTTATCAAGTGGAGAAAATTCTCTTATTCCTAGTTTTCTGATAGTATTTTTTTAATCAGAGTGGATTTTGAATCTTATAAAATATTTTGTTGTGCATAAATTGATATGATCATGTACTTTTTCTTCTGGAGCTTATCAACCTGGTAGATGACATTGATTGATGTTTTTGAAAAATATTGAATCAGGGCTAGGGTTGTGGGTCAGTGATAAGAGTCCTTGCCTAACATGCATGAGGCTCAGAATCCCTAGAGTAAATTCCACTTGACCATGGTATATTTTTGTTTTTATATATTGCTGAGCTCTGTTAATATTTTGTTAAGTTTTTTTGGATCTATATTCATGAGGGATATTGATCCATAGTCGTCTTTTGTGTGTGTTATTGTTGGCTTTTGAGTCAGGGGAATAATATCTTCATAAAAATAATTGGGAAGTGTTCTTACCTCTTCTATTTCCTGGATGAGATTGCATAGGATTTATATTAATTCTTCTTTAAGGGTTTGGTACTGGGCCTGGAGAA